CTCCCACCCCAACCCACTCCATGGCTTCTTGGCTAAAATGCTCACTGCTCAGAGGCCCATTCCAGGGTCTCTGGCTGAGAGGACAGTTCGCAGAGAAGAAAAGCAAAGGAACAGATGAATGTCCAAGTCGTGGCTGCTGCCAGGGAGCCCCTCAGTCCCCCTTGCTGCCCCTACCAGCCCCAGGTCCCTCTGTACCAGCTGGAATGGTCATCGAAAGAGAAGGGGCATCTGGGAGGGTGCAGTGTCCTGCCCACCCCTCTTCTGGGTTCTGACTCTTGCTGGGGAAGCAGCTGTGTGGGTGCCTTGCCTTGTTTTTAAGAGTTTGTTTGCTTTTTGTTTCTTTTTTTTTTTTTGTAATTTTACTTTTTTTTAATCCTCCAATAGGAGTCCAGAGGTACAGGTGCCAGGATCCAGGGAAAGGGGTGGAAAACCATATGAACAACAATAAAAAGGAAAAAAAAAAAAAATCACTCCTCCCTCTGCACCCCAAGGCCCGCCTGCGCCCCTCTGCGTGGTGAGCACCAGGAAAATTGAGTGTCCAGCCGGTTGGTGATGACAAGCAGTCAGCAGGCTGACACCAGGCCCTTCTGGAAGGGGCAGCGGCGCTTGGGCCGGGGGCCGTCCTCATCCTCCTCCTCCTCATCTTCCTCCTCCTCCTCCTCTTCCTCTGAGGACGAGGAGCTGTCCAGCGTGAGGTCCACCACATCAGCTCCCGGCTTCCCATTTTCAATGCTGCCCACTGTGCTGCCCCCGCCTCCAGAGCCCCCAAGCATGCTGCCACCACCACCGTTGACGTTGGGGCTGGATAGGAGGCCATTGGCGTCTGAGGTGCCTGAGGGTGACAGGGACAGATGCTCAGGACGACTGCTGACCCACAAAATAAGGAAACAAGGTGGCAAGGGGCAGAGGCAATCCTGGGATGCCATTTCTGACTCATGTAGAGGGCCTCCTGACGTTGGGGAGCACCCTGTATAGGACCCGCACAAAGCAAGTGCTCAATAACTGCGTGCTGCCTGCAGGGCAGAGTTCTGAGCCCTGTTCCGTTCCACTCTGTGGGAATCAACTCCACTGGAGTGGCTGTGTTTTATTTTTTCCTTTTCATTTAAAAAAAATATTTTATTTATTGATTTTAGAGAGAGAATGGAAGGAAGAGAGAGAAAAACATCAATTTGTTGCTCCACTTATTTTTATGCATTCATTGGTTGATTCTTGTATGTGCCCTGACCAGGGATCAGGGCGAGTCGGGGTGATGTTCTAATCAACTGAACTACCTAGCCAGGGCTCTTTTTTTTTCCTTTTTGGTTTTCCTTTTTGTCTTTTTTCATTTGGGGTGGCCCCTTTTAGATGAAAATGTCACATGGCAGGACACAGGCCAAACTCAGAAATCGCCAAACCCTCAGAATAGGGATTGGGGCAAACAATGGGGCAGTTGGGGGCCCGGGCCTGGGACTCACCGAGCACGAGGATGGGGCACTGGGGGCTGCAGCTGCGCTCCTTCTCGGCACGGATCGGGCACCATGAGCCATCTACCAGGTATTCAATCTCATCGGCATCCTCGCACTCACTCAGGATCTTGGAGAGGAGCCTAGGCAGGGAGGGGGGAGAACGG